CGTCTGTAACAAGAGAGGCCACACTGCTGAAAACTGCTGGTTTGGTGCTGCTGGTAATGGCAGTGGTAGTGGCAACTACCAGTCAAGACCTCACTCTTACCCAATGTATCCGCCACAGTTTTACCATGCTGGTATGCCGTGGCAGAACCAGTGGGGTAATCAGTGGCCCCAATACAATCAAGGCCAACAACAACAGCCAAATCAACAGTAAAACTCTGGTCAGCAGCAACAACAAAACGCCAACAAACCCAACAACAACCAGGGAAACTAACAACTGCTGCCCCTGAAGTGGTCAAGTCGGCAGCTACAGTACAAAGTGCAAAATCTCAGCCAGACCACGTAGACCACAACTTATCTGACTTCGACCAGTTTCCGACACCTGGAAGCCCAATGGTTACATGGTCACTAAATGGTGTCAAGTCAAAATGTGTCACAGATACTGGAGCAGTAATTACTGTAGTTAAGAGAGGACACTTACCTGGACCTACACCCAAGTAAGCCAAAGCTCGTCTGAAAGGCGTCACAGTAGGCACGGGCAAGTTGTATGGTCCAAGGTTAGTCACTTTCACCTACGATGACATTGAAGTACAGTTTCCTGTGTACGAAAGTGACATAGAAGTTGACTGCCTGATTGGAAACGACTTCATTCATTACTTTGGAATAGGCATTGAAAGCTCTGAGGGATATGTTACGTTCAGAAGAACTTCACCAAGTAATTACCTCCCAAGTCCGGTTCAAATCCCTTGCGAGATGGTCCATACTCCAAGTGTGGGTAGGTTCCACTCTGGATGTGTGTACTTTGTCGCTCGGGCAAGCCGCACTCTGAATCTGTCTCCATTAGCAGATATTGCAGTAGTTACAGAACTGGAAACTGATACTCAGTTCCCTAAAGTTCAGATTGAAGATCAGCTAAAAACAAAAGAAAGAAAAAGTGGTTCCAGTGTGCACACTATAAAACAAATAAATATAAAAGGTTCCACAAATGCTGACAATAACACTGATAGCCTTCTAATGTCTCCAGAAGAAGAGGATAGGTTACATAAAGTTCAACTTGGCCTGATGACTCAACCATTACCTCATGATCCAGGACCAAAGCCTTCTCAACTCCATCCAAGTGTTTTAACAATGTCTGGAGTAGTGCCTTGTGTGAAAGCACCAATGGTCGAAGTCTATCTCCTAAATTCAACTGAGTATGAAGGTCAAGAAGAGTCCAATTCTCCAGAAATTCCAGCTCAAGCAGCAGCAGTCCAGTCTCAAAATTCACAGTCATCCAGTTTCTCCAATCCCAGTTCTCTCGATGTAGATTTTGATCCAGTTCCTAGAAAAGAAGCGATGCCATCTAGTCAGCCTTTACCACCAGATTTACATGACTTAGTCAAAAGATGCAAAAATCTTACCACAGACCAAGAGGCTCAAGTTTCAGACCTTTTGCGGAAACATGATGTCTTTGCGCCAGACAACACAACGTTTGGTTGCTGTCCGTGGGTTAAGTTTACCATGGACACAGGAGACCATCCTCCCATCAAGATGCAAGCAAGACCAATCCCTCTTCATTACCGTAAAGCAGTCTTTGAAACTTTCATGAAGTACATAGAATGTGGAGCTGTTCGCCCGAGTAACTCAGCGTGGGCATCTCCCATTTTATGTGTACCTAAGAAGACAGGAGAAATCCGTGTTTGCATTGATTATCGAGCCTTGAATCATATTACAAGAGTTCCAGCCATACCTATACCTTTAACTAATGAACTTACTCAGAAAGTAGCTGGTCACAAGATTTATCACTCCTTTGACTTAGCGCATGGCTACCATAACCTTGTAATTGATGAGAAAGACATTCCCAAAACTGCAGTCATCTTGCCTGAAGATCTAGGCCTACCAGCTCGACATTTTGAGTGGACAAGACTCGGTTTCGGTTTGTCTGCAGCTCCTGGCATTTTCCAACAAGTTACGGACCGATTGATGAGACAACCAAGAAATCCAACTCCTGAGAATGATGTTGGTCCACACAGTGCTGTCTACCTTGACGATATTTGTTATTTGTATCGCAGGTGATGACTTTCCATCTATGCTTCTCAGACTAGAAGCTCTCTTCAATCGTGTGCGTGCTTCAGGTTTCTTCTTGAAAGCCAAGAAATGCTTCATCTTCCAAGACAATTGTGAGTACCTAGGCCACATGCTTTCAAAAGAGGGAATAGGCACTGTAAACAAGAAAATTGACAAAATCACATGTTTGCCTGCTCCTAAAATTGTAAAAGAAATGCGTACTTGGCTTGGTATGGTGAACTACTACATCAAGTTCTTACCTAACATGGCAACTGAAGCAGCTCATTTGTACAAGTTACTTCATAAAGATGTTGAGTTCGCCTGGACCAGTGACTGTGAGAAGAGTTTTCAAACCGTCAAGAAACTTCTCAGTTCAGCTCCATTTCTGGGTGTACCAGATATCTCCAAAGGTCCTTTTGTCTTCTACTCGGATGCAAGTCTTACAGGACTGGGAGCAGCCCTGAAACAAAAACAAGGAGATCAAGAGGTTTTAATTGCCTACTGGTCTAAAGTTCTCAACCCTGCTCAACAGAATTACTGTGTAACACACAGAGAACTTCTTGCCCTAGTAGAAGCAGTGGAGCATTTTCATCATTACCTTGCTGGTGCCCCTTTCGAAGTCAAAACGGATCATGCAGCCTTGCAGTGGCTTCGCAATTTTAAGAACCCTTCCGGACTTCTTGCCAGGTTGATCAGCAGGTTAGCTCCTTACAGCTTCACAATCTCCTACATTAAAAGTGTCGACAATGTCGAAGCTGATGCCATGTCAAGAAGACCAAATCGTCCTTGTTCCAGTGACTGCAAGAAATGTACGAAATTAGAAATGCAAGATAAACTTCTCACTCCAGAAACATTGTCAGTGTATTGGGTTTCCATTGCACCCAATCCTGATTTCACACCTGTTCAAATTAAGAAAGATCAACTTTTGGACCAAGAATTAATGCCTATCATTCTAGGCCTACAAGATAAATTGAGACCCACCTTTCAAGATGTTGTTCGCTATGGCCCACGAACAAGATCTCTTTGGTTACAATTCATGTCTCTTGTTTTGCACAATGGAGTTATGTATCGAAGACTCGAACACCCCAGTCTTGATCCAAACAAAGACATTTTTCAACTTGTTCTTCCTTCTGGACATGTAGAGGACTCCATCAAGTCTTATCATGAAAATGCAGCAACAGGAAATCATTTTGGAGTAAGCAAAACTTTCGCTGCTCTCCATAAGGTTTTCTATTGTCCTGGAATGTGGGAAGATGTTGCTTCATTTGTGTCAAAGTGTGAGAAATGTGCAAGATTTAAACATCACAAAAGGTCGAAAATTCCCTTACAAATTTTCAGAGAAGGTGTACTTCATGGCAAGTGGCACATTGACATCTGTGGTCCACTTCCTTTAACTGAAGAAAAGTACAAATACATACTTGTTGCTGTGGAAGCCTTCTCCGGTTGGCCTTTTGCTATCCCCATCAAATCAAAATCTTCCGAAGAAATTGCTGAAGTCCTCATTCGTGATGTTTTCTCTGTGTTTGGAGCACCACTTTCAATTCTTTCAGATCAAGAAAGGTGTTACACATCTGCTGTCATTAAAGACATTTACAATGTCTATGGAATCCAAAGTAGCGCCATTTCCCTTGCACATCCACCTGCAAATGGAAAAGCTGAAAAATGGGTCAGAACGCTAAAAGAACATCTCAAAATGATGGTCTCCAAAGATCAATAGAATTGGCCTAAATACTTACCTCTCATCTGTCAAGCGTATCGCAGCATCCCTTACACAGCAACAAAATTCTCTCCTTATGAGGTGTTTTTCGGTGCTCCCATGCGGACGCCTCTAGACCTTCAAAGAGGTCTACCTCCAGTCAGCAATCCTGTAGAAATGTCAATTAAAAATTATCCATTCTGACTACGCTCAACTCTTGAAGAAATTCACAGTTTTGTTAGAGAGCATACTCAACATGCAGCTCAACGTATGAAGTCGTACTATGACTTACATGTGTCATTAGCCCCTTACAAGAATGGTGATCTAGTCTGGTTCTACCATCCAGTCAGGTCCAGAGGCAGATCTCCAAAGCTGTACAGTCCTTGGGAAGGGCCGTACAGAATTACAAAAATCATCAATGACACTGTAGCAGCTGTTGAGATGGTTCATGCTCCCAACACCCAACGCATAGTCCATCTTTACAAACTTTCAAGCTATGTTACACCCGCCTTGCCAATTCAAGCAGCTTTGCTCAATCACCGTGGCAACAGTAAAAGTTTGTCAACTGGCCGTTTCGCCATGCCTGGAAACAAGAATTTGAAGTCTAAATTTAAGTTTGATGAAGAAAAATTAACTTCAAGTATAAGACGGATAATTACCAAGTACCACAGGGAGAAGACGCCTGCTGAACAATCTTCCAGCTCTACTTCCAAAGACGATGATCTTCGCCAGAAAATCGAAGGTTTGAGGTTAAACGCTGCGGCTCCAGACCTTCGCAACAAAATCGACGAAATCCACAAGACTGAAGACAACAAACCTGCAACAAAGACTGTGGTTAGAAGAGAGTGTGCCATCATTCCTTCCAAGAAAGTCACTCTGGTTCGGATTCGTCCAAAGAAGCCGCCTAACCTGTCCGTGAAGCCGGCTACCGCCGTCCCGACATCTCCATCTTCGCTGGTTCGTCAAAATCCTCCTACTTTGAAAACTCCAATGAAGAGGAAACGTTGCAACCGTTGCCGTAAATATGGGCACGTTAATCAGTCGTGTCCTCAAAATCCTAAGAACAAAATTTTAATTCCTCCACCACCAGAATTTATGTAATTTCCAGTACCAGTCCATTACCTGATCTGTACCTGATTTTCTCAAGTAGTACCTGTTTTCAATTGCTCAATTGTTCAAATTGTTTTGGACGAAATGTCGCTGTTCTTCAATAAAACATGAAATATGTGAACACATTTCTTTTGAAGGGGGGAAGAAAGAACCGCCAAAACCTACACTCTCCCAAAACTCGTTGGGCAATGAATGGCGACACTATTCTCAGAACGACCTGTCAATAACCATGGTCCAGAAACCAAACAAGCAGACGACCACTCAGCAGCCCAGCAGCGACAACAACAACCTTTTCCTGTCCTGTTTTCAACCAGTTCAACTGAGATGACACACTCCAAGCTTTCCCAAGTTTAAAAGTTAAGTGTGATAGTTAATTTTGAAGTGTTAAGTCTTGTTAGAAGTAAGCAGTCTTAAACTGCAGTGGTGTTATTAGGTCAGATAGTCAGGTTCTCTTTTGTCACCACAGGGCTAACCAATTTAAGTGTCAACCCTGCAAGTTTGAACAACATTTATGGATCAAAGATTCTCTTGCTTTCAGTTGATCGTCCTGTCCTTTTTTCAGTCCCTGTCACCTGAGGCCTTCAACTTTCCAACCCGTCAAGTCTAACTCGTTGTTCTCGTGAACTTTTGTAGTAAATTACTGTGTCAGAAATGTGGCTGATCGGTCAGGTCAAACAGTCCTGTACCCAAGCCTAAAAGGGGACACTGCATTTCAGACACATGATTTATTCAAAGGAATATAATTGATAGTTCAAATGCGGCTGATTGGCTAGGTTGCAAAATTCCTAAGCCGTCGCCCAAAAGGGAACACTTCATTTGGACGACTCAATTATTTCAATCAATTTTCTGAATTTATTCATTTGGTTACAAGTGTCTTTTAAAAGAGGGAGTAATGTTATGAAGTTGGTATCTCTGATACACTTGTTACCCTCTCCCTAACTCCGCGCATGCGCATGTACTTCGTTAGCACCATTGCTACGTTCCATGACAACCCCTGTTGTATGATCAGTCTTGGAGAATACACCGTTGACTACAGACGTCCCTGTATTTCACTCTCCCGTCTCCTTACCCGCTCCGCTACACACACAATTCTA